TCAACTAAAGATTTTTATTCAAAAAGTTGCGTAAAAAAACTGAGAGTGCAGCAAACCAAACTCAATAAGCGTAAACACAAACATGTTTGAGAAAATAATATTAAGGCTAATGCATTAAATAACATCATTCACAAAGTGAGTAAGGTCTAGACATACCTGTTAGATGGATTAAAATAAAGGAGTAAAATTCTCAAACTTAACCTAGAACAATTAAGTTATCAATTTCTTGAGTGGATAATTTTCAAAAATCGAAAATGTTGAAAATACTTGTGTTAATAAAAAAATTAAAAACAATTTTGCTGAAAGCAGTTTTTGAAAATTCTTCAAGAAATAAAAAAAACTCTAATTTTTTTAATCCATTAAAAAACAAATTAAATAAAAATATGTTTCAAACAATTATAATTATATAATTATAACTTATTGAAGAAATTTTTAGAGTTTCTTTATGAAAAAGTTTTGCGGTAATGAAAATAATTTCAGTATAAAATGCCATTTAAGAAGTTATGCCGCTATAATGCTAAGTTATGCCGCTATTATGCTAAGAAGTTATGCCGCTGAAGAATTTTCTTATTTTGGAAATATTGTAAACATTACACGGTTATAAAAGCTAGATAATTTTTTTTTTTAATATTATTTTTAGGTGCCCCAAGAAGACCTAACGGTCTTGTCACAGAGCACTGCGGAAGTAAATTTAACCAGGAAGTTCAATTCAATTCATATATATTCTGAAATAGTTGTTACATTCACGGAAGTTTACAAATAGTACATGTACTAATCTTAAGTAAAAACCTTGCAAATAAAAGCTAATAAATATATTGATTAATAGTAATATTAATCATCCACAGCAGTAACAAAACGAACATTAAAAGTTGAGTAAAAATACTAATAAAGATAATAATTAAAGTTGTAGTTGTAACAGTAATAACAATACAATGATAAAAGTACAATGATTATTATAAAAATAAAATGACAGAAATAAAAATAATTACAATAATCATAAAAAAAATACAAGTAATTTAGTATTAGCCACATAAATACACACATATACAGACACATACAAATACACACATACAAACACACATACAAACTTACGTTCACAAATACATATAAACACATATACGTGTATCTCCTTGTATTCAATACAGGTGTGTATACATTAATTGTATACAAACATAATATACACCCATATATGTAGATTCGTATATACTATACACAAATAAACGTATATAAACACGTACATATACACACATACATACACATATTCAAACATAGCATAACATAACATACATACATACACATTTACAAACATGAATACATATACACACATTTAATAATATTATATATGTATATATTATATACACCAACACATATTTGCATACATACACACACACAGTCACACACATATAAATACACATACACACATATATATACATAAATATACACTCACCACTTATTCACATGTGTGCATCACAAACACTTAAACACAAATACATATCTTTGGATTTATTAACTGTATTTGATTAGGAAAGAATGGAATAAGTTACTCTTAAAAATATAGATTGAATGGAGAGCTTTTAGGTCATAGGGAAGGTTATTCCAAGATTTTATACTTTGGTTTTTTATGGACTTATATCCATAAGTAACAGAACGATGTTTTAACACTGCAAGATTCAGATTATCAATTGATCGAAGATAGTAACGGTTATTTGCTTTTTTTGGGAAGAAATTGTTGAAGGTAAGTAGTAGGTTTTTGTGTTGGTGATTTCAGACAAACTGGCAATTCAAGAATTGAACAAGGTCACATAGTTTAAGGATCTTAGAAGTAAGATAAAGCACATTAGGATTGAATTTGTAATTCTGAAAATGAATTATTTTTAAAGCTTTGTTTTGAAGATGTGATATCCTTAAAACTGCTTGCTGTTGAGATTGTCCCCATATTTGACAAGCATATCGTATATGTGAGCTAAAAATGGCATAATATATATTTAATAGTGTTTCCAGATTGACATAATGGCGAACTTTTGCCAGCATTCCATTTGATCTGCTCAATTTTATGGCTAAGTCTTTAATATGGGACACAAACGATAGGTTGGAATCATTTATAATTCCTAGATACTTGATAGAGTTTACAGGAATGATTTTCTGGCCACTTAATTTAAAGTTTAAATATTTATTGATTTTTGTTTTATTAGATTTGAATATGACCAGTTCAGTTTTGCTACAGTTGAGAGAAAGCTTATTTGTGCGAAGCCACTGAACTAAATTGGCAAGATCATGATTAATGTATTTTTTAATTTTTTTTAAAGATTTGTTGATAATGAGCAAATTAGTATCATCAGCAAAGTGATAAGGAGTTGCAAACTTAATTGAGTTATTAAGGTCATTAATATAGAGAAGACAAAGTAGTGGTCCTAATACTGAGCCTTGAGGGACACCATTGGAACAACTTATTTGAGTAGATTTTGAGTCATTGACTGAGACAAACTGAGATCTGTTGTGAAAATATGAAGTAAACCATTTAAGAGGTATTCCTCTGATTCCATAATATTTTAATTTCTTGAGCAGGATAAAATGATCTACTGTATCAAAAGCTTTTTGTAGAATTACAAAGACACCACATGCAAAGTTTTTATTGTCAAGAGCTTTTCTGATAGAATCAGTAATTTTAATAAGTGAGTGGGTTGTGGAATGATTAGCACGAAACCCATACTGGTGTTTGTAAAGGCATTTAAATTTATCTAAAAATGCAAAGAGTCTATTATACATAGCTTTTTCAAAGAGTTTACTTAGGTTTGAAAAAAGAGAGATAGGACGGTAGTTGCACATATCCAATGTAGAACCTTTTTTAAATATCGGAATAACTTTAGCAACTTTAAAAGCATCCGGGAATAAACTATTTTGAAATGAGTTATTTATAATAACACTAAGAGGTTTAGAAGTTATGTCTGGAATAAGTTTAAGAAGGAATGAAGGAAGGCTATGAGGACCAAAGCTTTTTCCAACTCTAAGGGTGGTTTTAATAAGATTAGAGATTTCATTCTCTGTGACATGATCAATAAAGAACGATTTAGAATTTGGAGAGTTGATTTAGTCAGTAAATTTGGATGTTGAAGGTATAATTTTTTTTGAAGTTTGTTTTGGATAGTAACAAAAAAGTTGTTTAACATATTCGATACAGTAGTTTGATTTGTGATAATATTTTCTTTCAATTTAAGATTGAGAGTTGAATTATAGAAGGAAGGTTTTATATTAATGATTTCTTTTATCCTTTTCCATGTATTCTTAATATTGTTTAAGTTTTTACTAAAATAGGTTGTGTAATAGGATTTTTTACTAACTTTTAGTAGATTGCTGATTCTGTTTCTATAAAATTTAAATTTAGAGAACAGTTCATTTTTAGTACTGATATCTTTACATTTTGTGCATTTTTTATATAGTCTGTTTTTAATGGAAATAGATTTAAGTATGCCATTGATGATCCATGGTTTTGATTTAAGTTTAATTTGCTGCTTAGTTAGTTTTTTGTATGGAGCATGCTAATCTAATAGGTTTTCAAATGTCTTTAAAAGAAAACTGATAGATTGATTTACATCATCATCTTTTTTAATATAGAGATCCCAGTTAATGTCGGAAACATCTTCAATAAATATATTTTTGTTAAAGGTCTTGAAGCATCGTCTGTAAGATACTTACAGACTATACTTTTTTAAAGGTGGTTAGTTTTTCTAGGAATACAAATACAAATACAAATAGAATACAAATACAAATAGTTCACGCCTCCTTTCTTACCGTGACGCGAAAATATGTCCAGACCTCGTTTCGAATCTAGATCTCCTGTTTATGAAGCAGGCGCTTTAACCACTGCGCCGCGGATAACCCAGTGGGCACGGACGTAAAAAAGATGTCTTTTAAACGTTTTATACACGTTTTAGACGTCTTTTGAACGTCTTTTGAACGTTTTGGATGCCTTTTGAACGTTCAAAAGACGTCTTTTTTTTGGTCTGGTTCCCATTGGGAATTCTTTTATAGATAATTTCTTGATAATGTATAAAGTCTGTTGAAAGTATTTGGATCTATTCCGAACAATTTACAACTTTTTTTTAAATCTTTTTCCTTTTATTTGGGCTTTTCCATTTTTATTTTATGTGATTTTTCTCAATACAATCTCATTTGACGGCAGCACTTATGTCACTGGTTGTCAAGAGTAAAGACTTATTAGCACTAGTGTCACTGGTTGTCAAGAGTAAAGACTTATTAGCACTGGTGTCACTGGTTGTCAAGAGTAAAGACTTATTAGCACTGGTGTCACTGGTTGTCAAGAGTAAAGACTTATTAGCACTGGTGTCACTGGTTGTCAAGAGTAAAGACTTATTAGCACTGGTGTCACTGGTTGTCAAGAGTAAAAACTTATAACTATAATCAGATTTTATAGATGTGTTAAATGAATGAGATTGATCACGCTAATCCCCGAATATATTTTTTATAATTTGAACAACTAAAAAAGAACATTTTTTAGTTACAATTGCTAATAATTTTACTAAAGCATTTTTTGTATTTTGTATTATATTTGACTCTCAATATCTCATATACTTGCAGTGGTGGATCCAGGAATTTTAGGTGGGGAGGGGGAATGTTGAAATATTTTTGATTTTGTATCGCATTTAAGTCTCCTAAAAAAATAGGTCCTCTATTTCTAAAATGTTTTAGGACTTCCAGATTCTGGCGGGGGGAGGGGATGCATACCCTCTATACCCCTGGATCTGTCATTCAATACTTGATATGTTAAACTCACAATATAAGCAGCCGTGGCGTAGTGATAGCGCACTTGCCACAGAAACAAAGGATCCGTGGTTCAAACCCCATCTCTGGGCAAGTTTTGCGACATCGGTTAGGAGCAAGAAGAAGACCTTACTTATTTAAACTAAATGGGTATTTACAAAAATATTAGGTTTAAAATAAGATCATATCAATTGATAGATAATACTATAAATAAGTTAAATAAAACAAAAAATAAACAAGGTCATAAAAATAAAAATATAAAAGATGATTATGAACAAGGCTAAAGTAGCATTTTTTGTGATTAGAAGCAAAGTCTGACTTAAAGTTCTTACGGTACTATCCAAAGATCAATTCTGGATCCACCATTAGTTCTTATTTATATAAATGGTTTTTATTAGTTTTGAAATATTTTAAATCAAGTACTAGCTGCAGATGACACGAGTTTATTTTACTCTAAAGGAAACATTTTATCTTAAATAATAAACATTAATCTTTTATCTTAAATAGTAAACAAGAAGTTTTTAATGGATTTTATCTGAATAAAATATCCCTGAGTGTATATAAAATTAAGTGATAACTAAAAATCTGAACAAAATTGTACATCTTTTTAATGGGATGATCAATTCTATTTATTTAAAATGTATATTAACAAAAAAAGTCTAAATAATAAAATTATAAGCACAAATTCAATATTTTCGGATTTTAAATCGAGCAATTTAAAATCACGTGTCAACTCGAACTTGTCAGTTTTTTCATCCCGCAAAAACTTTCATCCCGCAAAAACTTTTAAGTCAAATATGTTGTGCGAGGGCATTACCAAAAACTAGAATGCCAGCTTGTACGAAATTGTGAAGAACGACTTTTTTTCAAATAGAAGTGTTGTCCCATGGAATGCGCTTTCCCAGGCAGCAGCGAACGCTCCATCAATCAATGCTTCCTAAGACAACATAAAAAAGTAAACTTTAGGTATACAATTTCTGCTTCGTTTATAGCTTCTGAGTATTTTTTCATCAGCATAGAGGGGCTTGGTGTAGCACAAAGCCCCTCTATGCTGATGAAAAAAATTTTTTGTAATTGTTTTTTTGTTTTTTTTTAACTGAATAATAATAAATGAATTTAAAAAAAAAATAGTCTTATTTGTACTTTACGTGTGACGATGTAAGATCAGGTATGAAAATGATACTGTAATTTTTATGATATTTTTCAATCAAATTCTCTAATCATTTAATCATAGTCAAACAAGGCATTTTGACTATGATTAAATGATTACTTAGTCAATGAAAATGTGAAAAGTATATATTTTTCACATTTTCATTGACTACTTGACCCGATGCAGTTATATACTGTTAGGAGATTCCGCTCCTCGAGAACGCAATCCAAACGAAAAATTTTGGCTCAAATTTGTCTTTTTTTTTCATCCTTACATCGCTTGATGCTGCATTTATGCCTGAAGAGTAGAATCGTTTTCCGAAATATTTGCTTAAATAAAAGTACGGTTAACCTTCATTATTTTTTTCTGAAAAATCGAAACTTATCGATTTTTCAGAAAAAAATTTCAAAGAAACTTTTTGCGGTGTTCTTTTAGGTACCTAAAAGATTTTAACACGTGTTTAAGTATTTTATTATAACGAATACTAGTATTTTTTTATTGATAATTTTGCAAATGTACAATTGTGATAGATTGAATCGTTTTGCAAGCTTAAGTATCAATCAAAATAATTTTTTTTAACGCTTTTTGATCATTTCAAACTTTTCGATTTGGTTCTATATTGTTCTCCAACCTGTTTAAATTATTATGTGCAGAAGATTTTATTCAAAAATGATTGATATTTTATCATCTAGATGAAAATCAAAAAATGCATACACTCGTTTTCTGAGCAAATCTTCGTCATAAGCATTTTTTTTTAAATTTCATATGTAAATGATTTATATATATATATATATATATATTATATATATATATATATATATATATATATATATATATATATATATATATATATATATATATATATATATATATATATATATATATATATGTATATATATATATATATATACATATATATATATATATATATATATATATATATATATATATATATATATATATATATATATATATATATATATATATATATATATATATATAGTTTAAAACAGAGATTTGATTAAAATTGTCTACACTTTAATCGTTAACATGGTGTTTTCTTATAAAATTTAGAAGTTTTTATAATTTAGAATTATATATATATATATATATATATATATATATATATATATATATATATATATATATATATATATATATATATATATATATATAGTTTAAAACAGAGATTTGATTAAAATTGTCTACACTTTAATCGTTAACATGGTGTTTTCCTATAAAATTTAGAAGTTTTTATAATTTAGAACTATATATATATATATATATATATATATATATATATATATATATATATATATATATATATATATAATAATTCTAAATTCTAAAAACTTCTAAATTTTATAGGAAAACACCATGTTAACGATTAAAGTGTAGACAATTTTAATCAAACCTCTGTTTTAAACATAAAACGGAGTGCTTGTCAAAATAATTTGCAAAGATAATGATGAGTTTCATGATGTAAAAAACAAACTTTATGAGAATAATTACAATATAGTAATAAACGTTAAATTTTTAAAACCAATTTCTAACAATTGTATATGGAGTGAATGTTGTTTGTTAAATTGTAGAAAGTTATTACTTAAAAACAATTTACAAAATAAAAAAGGGTAATGAGTTACAGTTATCATGTGATACGTCTAAGTTCTTTGCAAAGTATGAAACAAAAAAAAATTAGGCATTATCAATTTACAAAATTGTAAAAACAATTTTAAGAGATCTATGTAATCAAGATTTACTAAAATCCTGAGGACCCCTAGATCATCAGCAGAATCAGTTTAACTCAAAAATAAAAAAAGTGTACAAAATATTATCTTTGAATATTTTACTTTTGAAAAAACTGTATTCACAGAAATTATGAGAAGAGATAATAGTTAATTTGAAATTTAAGGTTTTACTTCTAACATGAAAATTGAAAAAAAATGCTATAAGAAATTATTTTGCCTTTATTTCGAATAAGGAACTAACCTCGTTGATGAGATTCGGTTTAACTTTTTTTTTGCAACAATTTATTTGTTAACAATTAAACAGGCGTCGGCTGAAAAAAAGTTTTTATACATCCAATATTTTGACACTAACAAAAAATAGATCGAGTACTTACCCTAAGTTTGTCAGTTTTAGTGTTTTTGCTCTACAAAAATGTTATGATAAAAAAGTTATAAGAAAAGACTTTTTCTTATCTATTAAAAACTTAAATTATCTTAAAAGAAAAGTTATACATTTTTCAAATGGTTTTATATTAAAAATTAATGGAAAAATAATGAGTAGAAGTAGATTGTAAAACTATCTGCTTTATGCCTAATGTAAAACTATCTGCTTATGACCTAATTTTGTTTGCTGATGATTTAAATCTTTTTTGTTCTCACAGAGATATTAAATCACTTTTTAAAATAGTTAACGAACAGTTATGTAATGTTAGTGCATGGTTCGTAAGTAATAAACTTTCACTAAATGCGGAAAAAACAAAATATATGCTTTTCCATAAAGTAAATAAATCAGAAAATATTCCTCTTAAATTACCAGATCTTAATATTAATAAAACTTATATTAAAAGGGAATCTTACATAAACTTTTTAGGAGTAAAATTGGATGAAAATTTAAAATGGTGTTCACATATAAATAGCATTGAAAAAATAATCTCAAAAAATATTGCAATGATGTTTAGGGCTAAACCCTTTCTAAATATATCATCTCTGAAAAAATTATATTTCGCCTTTATTCACAGTTATTTGTCTTATTGTAATGTTGTGTGGGCTAGTACTAGCCATACAAAACTAAAGAAACTCTACAATAAACAAAAACATGCTTGTAGAATAGTATTTGGAGCCGACAGAAATGTTCCTTGCGAACCATTTCTAAGTGTGCTCGGTGCTTTAAATGTATATAAACTCAATTTATACCAAGTTTTATTGTTTATGTTTAAAACAAAAAAGGAATTGTCTCCTAAAATATTTCAATCTTATTTTAATAAAATTAACCATAGGTACTCAACAAAGTTTTCAGAAAACAATTTTGTTGTTCCAAAACATAAATTAAAATTAACTTCCTATTCAATTAAATACCGCGGACCTTATCTGTGGAAGAAATTTCCAGATATTGTTAACAAAAAGCAGACTACATTAGTGCAATTTAAGGATGAATCAAAACGATTATTATTGCTCATGGATCTCAATAAATCCGACTTTAAATGTTTATTTTAAAGTAAACACAATAAAAAAAATTAAAAAAGCAGATTCAATTATATCAATGATATATGATAATATGAATAAGAAAAGAAAGAAAAAGGAAAAAAAGAAAAAAAAAAAAAAGAATAAGAAATCCAAGTGATGATGTCATAAGTGATGTCACAAGTGATGATGTCATAAGTGATGATGTTACATATTCATTTAGTGTTAATTATGAGATTTTATTTTTTCAATTTCTTTTATATTCAGGAATTTTTTATTTATTTATTTATTTATTTTTTTAATTAACTTATTTCTTAAACATTTTAGCAACTGTTAAGCATCTTAACGCTTCTTAATTAATTCTTATTTTTTATTTTTTTTATTATATTAGTTATTTTCTATATTTCATTTCTAATTGTTTCTTTTATATATATATTTGTATGTTACGGTTATGTAGAATTTTTAATGGGGCTCGGCGATAAGGCGAAATGCGCCTTCTTCTTGCTCCAGCCATCAATTTATATAAATGTATATGCAATGTAAACATTTTTTAACGGCAAAATAAATTACACTAAAAAAAAAAAAAAAAAAAATTCCAGGGTAATAAATTTAAAATTGCTTATTACTCGGATAATTACTTTCTTGAAGCAATCAAAACCCTAGTTAAAGCGTATTACAAAACAACAGTTGTTTGCAGTTAAAAGTACCTGTTGCTCCTATGAAGAAACTAGTTACAATTTGAACTAAATACATTCTAAACTAGTTACACTATGAACTAGTTACACCTTAAAGGTTGAATTATATTGCTAAGAATCTACAGCCAAAATGCGCGCTTTTTCAACATAAAGTGCATACAGTCGCGGTTAACAGTTATAAGAGAAAACCAGAAATACTTTATCATATTTTATCAAAATACAACTAAATGACAATACTTAAAAAACATTTTGTGTTGCTATTGCATAAATTAACTTTTGCATAAATTGCACGATTTTTTGCATACTTCTTTTGTATAGTCGTTAAAGTTACAAGCTCCGTAACGAGTCAGGTAATGGCACCAATCATTTGTATCCTTACAATCTAAATATAAAATAAAAAAGTTTATAAATTGATTTAAAAAAGTTTAATTGTGTGGTCAAACAAAACTTAAGTATGTATCAATGAAGTGTTAACGGCATATGGTGGTGGTTAACGCAAATATTTATAGGTTAATGGTGCCGTTTAGGAAGCGTTCAGCAGCCCTACAAATTTGGTATTGTGGCTCATCCTCTTCCAGATAGTTGCCAATTAAAGGTCGCACGCTAAGATCCGCATAAGACAAGTTCTCCATGGACCAGTAATTGAGTTTTGAGAAGAGCAAAAGTGAAGTAAAGAAGTTGTCGTGTTACAAAAATAGACAAATGCGGATAGACCGATCATTTAAGAAAAGCAACAACTAAGAAAATCTTATCCTTTCATACGGGTTCAAATGTTTCAGTTTTTTTCCGTAAAAATAATACAGTTTTTAACAAAAAAATTTTAATTTTTTCATTATTTGTCTAAAATAACTTAATTAATTTTGAAAAGTATATAATTTTGGTTTTGAAATTACGAATTAAAATTGGTCAATTTTTCAACTTATTAAAATTTGTTTATTTGATGAAAAATAAATTTTAAAATTAATTTAACACTTGAGATTTTAAACCCAATTTTCAAGTTTGCAAAATGAAAGAGCATCTTAAAATAAATTATATATAGTTATGGCTAAAGGATCCAACCACTCATAATTTTTATATATAATATAATTTAATTAAAGAAGTCTTTACGGTCTAATTGCAGAGCACAGCAAAAGAGAATTTAACAAAAAAGTTCACGCTTCCTTCCTTACCAATATTGCCTAATGGGCTAGAGCCGTTGTTGAACCTTGGACCTCTTGGTTTTGAGTCAAAACTTTAGCCACGGCTGCATTAATATACGTATATATACAAAATAATCGCCCTGAAAACACAGCAAATGTCACGCGCTGCGTGATAATTACTGTGTTGTCAGTATTTACACTATTACTGTTACTATTTCAGAGCTACAATATCACTTGCAAACATTGTGTCATAATGATGGTGAGTCACTTATTGTCCCAATTCCGCAAGGATTGAAGAAGAGGCTATTATAAAAATTGGAAGAACCCATGTAATGTACTAAATATATTTTATACTTTACTTTTTTATCATTATTTATCTTGCCTTTTCGATATAAAAATTATTCTATAAATAAATGCGTTCACTTTTCATACAAAAACAGTTTTTTTGCTATACACATAATATTGGAAAATTCATTAATAATAAAAAAAAAATTTATTTCTATTTAAAAGTTCCTTCATATTTAATTTTAGACCTAACTTAGTAATAATTTAAATGTATTAATTTTCCTTTGAGATTTTCAAACAGCTTGACTATTATTTTATTTTTAACACAAAAGCAACATATTATTGTTAATACACAAATATGATTGGCAAAGTACAAATCTTACTTTGTGACTTGTAACTAACGCAAAATACGAAAGGCTTAATGATACAATATGTAAACTGCGGGAGGTGTCAGCATTTTTTAAAGTTTTTAACATAAGCTTACCCGTTTCATCGCTTAGATTGCCATCACGACTTTCATTACTTAAGTTGACTAAAACATCGTCTGATGTTGGATTATTGCATAGACCACAAGATTTCTTGCAAGCAGTTTTGGTAAACTCATTAAAATGACAAGCACCATAACGAATATGATAATGACACCATTCGTTGGTATCTTTGCATTCTGTAAAATTGATTAAAAAATAAAATTAAAGATCAGAGTGTGGTTTTTAACATTTTTTCAGTTTTTAAAAAATTCAAATCGGTTTTAGAAAACCTTTGTAGTAATGAAGTTATTTTATTTAAAAAGCTTTTAAAAGTTTATTTCTAGCTTCTATTAATAAATAACATATAGATTTAATGCTTAATAGATAAAAAGTAAGTAGCAAATATTATAATATCAAATGTAACAAAATGATAACAATCAGTTTAAAGATTATTATCATAATTCTATAAATAATATTAATAATAATATATTTACTAGTTTTTACTTATTCTTTCTTCAATCTCTGGCAGGATTTCACAAGAATAATATAGAAAAATATTTTTCGTAAGTTTTCATGTCAGTGTAACCACATTAGCTTATTGTAATATGGACGAAATAATGCATATATAACAAATTGCTCATGCTTTAACATCAAGGTTTTTTTTTTTTTTATATTTTTTTTTTGTAGTTATTAAGCTGCTCCCAGAAGTCTTTTCAGTCTTATCACCGAGCACCTCAAAAAAGCATTTAACTAAAAAGCTTACGCCTCCTTCTTTACCAATGTCGCTTATTTATGCTACGTTTGGAGACATAAAATTTTACGTTACAGTTAAGTAACGTGTCTGTTATTTTAACGTAACGTAAAGCCATTTTAAATATTTAGAGTTATTGTGGTTTATCCTTTTTTGGCTAATTGTTATATGAAGTTCAAGAAGATTAACAATATTCAGTCGCGTTAAGAAGCATCATTACCCATTTAACGGACCAAGAGTAAATCAGTTTTTGAAGATTTATTTAATTAAAAACAAAAGAATTTAGCAAGTTGAGACTGAATGTGTCTTAAAAATGTTATATTTTTAAGACACATTCAGTCTCAACCTTGTAAGCAAGTTGAGACTGAATGTGTCTTAAAAATGTTTTAGGTAATCACTCACCACTTTCATCACTTAAATCTTCAATTAAAACATCATTTGAAGTTGGATTATCACATAAACCACATGATTTCTTGCAAACAGTTTTGGTAAATTCATTATAGTTACAAGCACCATAACGTGTATGATATCGACACCATTCGTTTGTATCTTTGCATTCTAAAAATGAGTAAAAAAAATATTTGGGGAAAGTTTTTGTATAGCTAAACACTCGAATGAGGGTTAAAAAATCAAACAACACCCGCGTATGTTTTCATTTTCAAAATTCATTTAAAAATAAAAGATTTGTTTAGTAAAAAATCTTTTATTTTTATTTTTTAATTGTTTATTAAAAAGATTATTTTATTGGTATTTATAACCAATTTTTTTTTGAAAACCGATTAAATACGCGACTTCAAGTACATATTTGTCTTATCTAGTTTTTATAAAGTCTTTAATTGTTAGTCTTAACTATTTATAACATGCATAATGCCCTTAAAAAGATTACAACTTTAAATTAGCTTTAAAAGTTTTGGTCGGTATATTTCTTTTAAATTTTTTAATGGGCGCGGTGCGTTTTTTAAACGTTTTTTGAATGTTTTTACTAGGTTTAAACTTAACAAAAACGTCCGAAGAACGTTTTAATAACGAACCGTGACCACTGGGTTAGACCTTTTTTATATTGTCTTGAGCCGTATAATTTCTTCCTGGGAGTTAAAACAGTTAACGAATGTTTTTAATTATTTCTCTTTTATATAATTGTTTATTTTATGCTAGGTGCCATAAAAAGGCAACCCAATTTTTTTTATATCTCCCTAACAATCAACTCAATCGGGGAGATATTTTGCATAGTATTATCTACCTTAGGTATACTACAATATAAAGAAATCTGTATATGACTCCAATATGACTCCAGTAATTTATTTTATAATGAGCATCAAGAACCTCATTTTCTGAAATTACTTCTTTTTTTCTTCTTTTTTTTTTCTTTGATTTTTTAGTTTCTAGATCTTGATCTTTGACAAACCATTCAAGACATTTTGTTCTTAAAAATATATACACTAAAGTTTATTACTTAACACTTAATTTAATCAAAAATGAAATACACTTTTAAAAATGCACAAAAATATATTAGATTGAGGTCAGCGCTTTTAAAAAACTTTACATCATAAATAATATTTATTTATGAGATTGTATAGAATAAAATTACTATTATTCAATCATAATTATGAAATGTATATCAATGTATATCCTATTTTATATAGAAAAGTTGAAGTTAGTAATTTTTTGTCGCTTGAAATTTAATAAATAAATATATGACTTCTAACAGGGGTGGCGCCAGCATTTTTTGGTCTTCGAGATGTCTAACATCCAGACATGGAACAAACTCTAAACATTTATATATTTATACTATATTTCAAATAAGGATGCTTTGCAAAAAATTGCGATGATTGGAGCCTAGAAACAAAATGGCCCCAAAATTTTAGCCCCCTCCCTTCTGCCCGAATCGTGAGAGCAACAAGTTGATAAAATATTTTTAGAACTATTTTTAACTAGACTTATATTCATCATTAAATTTTAAATTTCATAGTAAAATATTTTAGCGTTCAGAAAATATGACCATATAAAGTTTTTTTTTTTTTTTTTATAAAGTTAGATATCTCGAAGACCAAAAAATGCTGGCGCGACCCCTGACTTCTTAAATGTAAATAAAAGACATTTCAATGTTTACTTTAAACATACTAAACTCTTTTTATTTTATTTTACATAGTGTAAGATTTATTTTATATTTATTTAGTGGCTTGGCAATAAGACATAATAAGTCTTCTTTTTACCCCTTCTTTCAGTATATACTATCATCTTACAAAATACATATAACATCTAACTTTACTACTAGCTTTATTACTAACTTTACTTACTAACATCTTACAAAATATATATGTTTACTCTGCAAAAAAAATTATGTATGTATGTATAAAAAAAATAAAAATAATATTTCAGGGGACCTCATAATTTTTTTTTTTGATATATATTTTTTTTGTATAAATTTATACACAACATGTTGTTTAAATAATAAATTTTAATAATATAGTTAAAAAAATAAAGTTAAAAAAATTGTAAAGTTAAAGAAAGAATTCGGCTTAACAGACGAGCTGTTTAAAAAAAATAATAATAATATAATAATAAAATTACTTATATAATAATAAAAAATATTAAATTGTTTTAAAATTGTAAGATGAAAATTTTAAATCAGACTATTGGAATATCAATATAATATGCTATTTTATAGTTTATATATTTTATCTACCTTTTTTAAATCTTAAATCTCAGTTCTTTATTTCTTTTTTTAATATAATATAATATATATTTCGCCATAAAGAAAATATTTACAAAATTAGACTTTAAAAACTGTATATACACAGCTGGGGCAAGAAGAAGACAAATTTAGTCTTATCGCCAAGCCCCTTCAAACAAGTATACAAGTAACAAACAAAACAAAAAACCAAAAAACCAAAAAAAATCCGTTATCACAATATAATATATGCGTAAGGTACATATATAAATACAAATATCTCAATATTTTTCATTAAAATTTAATATTTTTTTTTAGTTTTTTTTTTTTTATTAGGATTTCAAATTTTAATAGTAAATAAAAATGAGATAAAACATGATAATTTAAGAAGGTAAAGATTCAAATTAAAATCAAAAATTAATATGTTAAAAATAAATTAAATATCAAGTAAAAAACAAGTAATTACTCCTATTTAAAAGTTTCAAAAGAAGTCAAGTTCATTGTCAATTATCAAGAGTTTACTTATTTTTTTAAACTCATTATCCAATAGGGTGTTCCATAAAATAGGTCCTCTGATTCCTATCGAGAACCTAGTCGCAGAATAATATTTTTTTGGTTGAATATAATTGTTGTTTGAAAATCTTGTTGGGTATAAATGATTTATTTTTTCGAAAAATGAATTAAAATGGGTGCCATTTTATTATCTACTTTGAACATAAATATAAAAATATGATATAGGTTAAGTTGAAATACGTTAAGTATTTTGAATTTATTAAAAAGTAATTTAGTGTGCGAAAAGCGATTCACATTTCCAATAATTCTTAGAGCGTGTTTTTGTTTAATTAGAAGCCCTTTATTTTTAGATACATTAATGCTGCACCAAGCAACGTTAGCGTAATTTAGATAGCAATGAATAAAAGTAAAGTAAATAAGTTTCAAACAAGTTTGGTTCAACAACTGTTTTGCTTTGTAAAAAAGGCCTATATTTTTCAAAATTTTATTTTGGATTATTCGTATGTGCTCCTTCCATGTTACGTTTTCATCTAAAACAACGCCTAGAAACAACAAAGAACTCTCTCTTTTGACATAAAAGTTATTAATAAAAAGCTTAGGAAGTTGTAAGGGTATGTTGTCTTTATCATGAAGACGATGGAAGAAAGTATATTTTGTTTTTTTAATATTTATGGACAATTTATTTGATATAAACCATTCGCTTAGTTTCACAAGCTCCTCGTTCACTGTTGTAAATAAAAAATTAATATCTTTATTTGAATAAAATACGTTAGTATCGTCAGCAAATAAAATTGAATTTAAGATATTGGAAAATTTACTCAAATCATTTATATAAATGAGAAATAAAAGCGGTCCTAGAATTGATCCTTGATCATTTCTAGTTTAACTGAAAACTATTTGAAAGCCTTACTAGAGTTAAAAAAAAAATTTTCTCCTAAATTTACTGCAAAACAGCTTTTCAAAATGATTAAACTTTTTTGCGTGCATTATTTCTTCAGGGATTTATGATAAAATCAAAAAATAATAAACAACTTTCTTTTTTTTTTATCCGATTTGTTTTTACTGCGTCATTCCGATTTGCGATTCGCCAATTTTTTTTTAAAGCACATACCAATATGCAAAATAAATTTTAGCGACTATTAAGTATTAAGCAATATATAATAAAGTTACTAATCGCTAAGTTACTAATTGTCACGATCATTTCATGGGGGTTGAGTTAATCGTTAAAGTGTATAGTTACGCAATTTCCTATTATATGACAAATCACAAATATCTAACAATAATCAGAAAGTTATTTTTTCATTTATATATATATATATATATATATATATATATATATATATATGAAGTTATTTTTTCATATATATATATATATATATATATATATATATATATATATATATATATATATATATATATGTGTATATATATATATATATATACATATATATATATATTGTATTTTTATACATATTATATTTATGTTATATATTTCTTTCATCATAAGAGAAAAAATAGCTAGTTTTTTCATTGATTTTTTTAGTTTTCTTCAATCATGAAAAATGACAATTGTGAAAATTAACAATTAACAATTGTGAAACAATCGTGATGATACGATAAAGTTATTAATGCAGTATATATTAAAGTTAATAATTCAATAAGCGAGAAAACTTAAATGCAAACCTTCACCAAAAGAGTTTCCAACTGTTAAAATTAAAAATAGGAGAGACGCAATAATCAGTTTAGTCATTTTCTGTTAAAACTAAAGTTGACCACCGTTTGCTTGTTAAATTTGAAAGCGATTTAAAATAATCTTATTGCACTTATAGCTTTTGTGTGCAAACATCTCGTGACACGTCCATATTCTTGTGTCTGCAATGCGCGCAAGTCTTGATGATATTTATTCATGTGTGCAAATAAATATTTTTAATGACAGATGTTCAAATTTATAAATCAAATTAGTTTAAACTATTTTATAAATATATAATTAAAAACTATATTTGTTGTTGTTGTTGTTTTGTTTCTGGTTTTTTGTTTTGAATTTTTATTTATTTTACTACTTTTGGCTTTACAGAAAAAAAAGATGTTGAAAGTAATTCAAAACAATTTTTGAATTTTTTAAACATCATTTAAAAATCATTAAAACACTTGTTTTTTTTCAAAGTCTATTGCTCCCATCCTGATCAACAATCTATTTGTAAGTTTTGACATTTTGCGTGCACATAAAAACTAAAACTGCAACTTTTTCTTTATTTGGTTTAATATTTTGATGCTTTAAGTAAATCTTTTTAGAATAAATTATAGTTTGAAAACAAATTAAGGAATGGTTTAACAAAATTTAAAAATTTACTGTTGCTACAGCTGCAATTTTCTGTGCATATATTTGTTCAACCTGTTCGTTATTATCCGTCAATACTGCATTTAATAAAATAATGCAAAATTAAATAGATATTTGTAAAAAAAAAAAAGATGTTAGTAAAATTCATCAAAGACAAATGCGATTAAATTTTAAGTCAGTAATTATAACTCAAAAATTTATTTTAGAATCAGGTTGTGAGGGAGTGGTGGTAACTTTTATTTTTAAACAAGTTTTTAATTTTTAATATAATATTAAATAACTTTTATCTGTTCTTCTGATAATTTGCTTTAATAATGGACGTATGATGTTTAATATAAACATGAAGTTTTTAAAACATCATAAGAAATCAACTTAAAATAGTTAGATAAAATCCTTGATCATTTCATTCCACAAAACAATAGGAAAAAGGAAACTGCTGTTAATTAGGTCTTTTTTTGGTACTTGACTTTAAGATTATCAAGTTAGCATTTATGGGTACTAATGGTGGATTGAGACTTTTCGGGGTCTAGGGCCTTTTTGCTCCAAATTGTTGTGCTGCTTGTGAACTTTTTCTCTCAGAAGCACAAGAAAAAAAGACATTATTTTACTGTAATTCATTTTTAGTTAATCAATAATTTGTAAAATATTATAATTTTTAAATTTTATATTATTTTAACTTCAACTAACTACTTAATAAAGTTTGTCTAAAGGTCAATCATTGACTTTTAAACATCATAAGTTTAAAGTTATTGCAACCTAACATGCTACAAAAATTTGTTATAATGTATACACAGAAATTCAACAATGTTTGCAAGGACTTCTCCTAGACTTAGGACTACGGTCTTGTTGTAGAATTCATATATCTTTTCTACGCTTTTCAAAAGAAACTAGGTCTAATTAAATTAAGATCTTAACCGACTATTTTTGTCATAGACTAGCCAACTAAATTCGTAAAAATACCGACTTTAACTTGAATAACTTGAAAATCGCCTTTTTTGAAGGGGAAGGGGATGTAACACACCCACACACACACCCGTAAAATCGCCTCTGTATATATATATATATATATATATATATATATATATATATATATATATATATATATATATATATATATATATATATATATATATATATATATATATATATATATATATATATATATACATTTAGGGGGTAAGAGCAGGTTTAAGGGCCACCCTAATATATATACATATATATATATATATATATATATATATATATATATATATATATATATATATATATATATATATATATGTATGTATATATATATAAATATATATATATTTATATATATATATATATGTATATATATATAAATATATATAGATTTATATATATATATATATATATATATATATATGTATATATATATATATAAATATATATATATATATAAATATATATATATATATATATATATATATATATAAATATATATATATGTATAAATATATATATATATATATATATATATATATATATATACATATATATATATATATATATATATATATATATATATATATATATATATATATATATATATATATATATATATATATATATATATATATATGTATATATATTAGGGTGGCCCTTAAACCTGCTCTTACCCCCTAAATGTGATCTAGTTCTATCCAATACAAAAACACTAGGTTTAAAATATTTTTTAATAAAAAATATTTAAAGGTATTCCTCAAGCCCCTCGAATATTTAATGGGTCCCTAATATTTTTAAAAATTTGTCAACAAAAATAAAGCGAAATTATATAAAAATTTAAAAAAATATATTCATTTTGAAAAAATTTTAACTGATTTATTAAAACTATCTTAAAAAAACATAAAAAATGCATATTTTACATTTTTTGTTAAAAAATGCAATTTTTTAAGTAATAAAACCAAAAATAACAATTTTTTTAAAAATAAATATTATTTTTGAAATTTTTATATAATTTTGCTTCATTTGAGTACCAGGTTGACATTTTTGAAAATTTTTGAAAAATTTTTTTTTTTTGAAAATACTCGGGACCAATTAAATATTCCAGGGTCTTGAGGGACCCCTTAAAATATTTTTTATTAAAAAAAATTTTAAACCTTTGTATTAGATAGAACACATTAAGGGGGTGGGAGCAGCTAAAAAAGCTGTTTTAATTGCCATCCTAAAATATATATATATATATATATATATATATATATATATATATATATATATATATATATATATATATGTATATATATATATATATATATATATACCGTGTCTGGTAGACATTTTTTTTCAAAAAAAATTATTTCCGTTACAGTGTGACTTTTACAACTTATACCCACACTGACGGTAAAGCACATTTTATTTTAAATGTGTTTTATGTTTTTGACTTTAAAAACTGAATAAAACATTAATAAAACATCATGGCGAAGTTGTTTTATAATAACCCAAGGTTTTTATATTGACAAAACAAGCTCACAGTATTAAAAAAAACTGTTCATTATAGTATTTTTTTTTTAAAAAATAGACTTTTTCGGAATTCAAGGTTTGGCTTATAAGTGAGTTTTTTATATTGCTGTATATTTTATGGTATATTATACTATTATAAAGAACTACAAAATACAATTACTTGATAAAACCGAAGCATTAATTAAAGGAATGAGATTGAAAGCTTTCTTCTTTCTTAATAAAGATTAAAAAAGTAAGGAAAATATTTTTTATAACAATTACGGCATAAAAACATAAAGTTATCCCGAACAAATTTCTGATATTTCGTAAAAAATACAATAATTACCAAGACAAGTTAAAAGATGACATATCTACCATACGCAATAGTAAACTTACATATACTTTTTCCGATAAAACATCCAATTTAGATAATATATCTGAAGAAAATTATACCCATTTACTTACAAATGCTATCACCTCAACATACAAAAAATCGAATACAAAAATAAAAAATCAAATAAATAAAGAAGGTAAACGGATATTAAAAAATCACGACGTTTTGAATAAAATCGACATTAATATATCTTCAAATTATTTCATAAAATTTAAAGATCATAAAAAAACTTTACAAATGATCCAACTGTCCGTTTATTAAACCCTGCCAAAAATGAAATCGGCAGAATTAGTAAAGCTATACTTTCTAATATAAACTCTGAACTTGTAAAGAAACTTCATCTCAATCAGTGGAAAAAAACCAAAGGTACCACAAACTGGTTTAATCACATCAGTAATAAACGCCTTTATAAATTCCTTATTTTTGATGTTGTTGATTTTTACCCTTCGATATCTGAAAAACTTCTTAACAACGCTATTCATTTTGCTGAGCAGCAAAATGATTAGCGTTCATTTTGCTGACCACACTTTTCAACCATGTTCTAAGCTCGGAAATTCTTTAAATTATATTCATACTGATTCAAACCACCCACCTAATATTTTAAAACAGCTTCCGCATTCAATTGATTTAAGATTGTCTGCAAATTCGTCAAGTGAAGAAATTTTCCAAAGATCTACTCCTACGTACAATGACGCGCTATTAAGATCCGGTTTTAATCACAAACTTTCATATCACCCTAATTTAAATTTACAAAAAACCATAAATGCAACATCATATGGTTCAACCCTCTTTTCAGCAAAAATATTAACTTTAATTTAGGAAAAAGTTTTTTTAACCTTCCCAAAAAATCACAGACTCCACAAAATTTTTATTAGAAACACAATAAAAATAAGTTATAGCTGTATGCCGATTATGAAATCTTTTTTAAATGCACACAATCAACAAATTATGAATAACAAAAAAGTTCCAACTAAAACCAACTGCAATTGCCTTAATAAAACAACCTGCTCTTTATCAAACGAATACTTAACAAAAAACATTGTATACCAAGCCAATATAAGTTCCAATAATTCTACACTCCTGTCAACAAATCCTAGATCGGTATAAGTGAAACACCATTCAAAATTAGATATGCTAACCATATTTAGTTTTGAATGGTGTTTCACTTTTTTTTTTCAAAATTATTTAACATTCTAAAATACAAAAATGACACCAAATTATCAAAAGAATTTTGGAAATTAAAAGATGCCAACTTAAACCCAGTTCCTAAACAGAAAATAATTAAGCAATGCAATGCTTACAACCCAACCACGAAGTCCTGCAAACTATGGACAAATGAAAAATATGAAATTCTATTTTCCAAAAATAAAAATCTGCTAAACAAAAAAGTGCAATGGTATCTAAGTGCAGACACAAAAACAAGTTTCTTCTCGCCCTATTCGACACGGGTAATTGAGCAATTTTCTAATTAACTAAAAAATTGTTTGTTTTGACGTATATATTTATATATATATATATATATATATATATATATATATATATATATATATATATATATATATATATATATATATATATATATATATATATATATAAACAATATATATTCTGAACTGAAAGTTTATATTTCATGGTTGTTTACGAATAGTACGAGTACTAATCTAAGGTAA